AGAGAAACACACATAGACACACACACAGAGAAACACACACAGACACACACACAGACACATACACACACACACACACAGACAAACATACACAGAGAAACACACAGACACACACGCACACACACAGACACATACACACAGAGAAACACACAGACACGCACGCACACACACAGATACACGCACGCACACACACAGAGAAACACACGTAGACACACACACAGAGAAACACACACAGACACACACACACAGACACACACAGAGAAACACACAGACACACACGCACACATACACAGACACACACACACAGAGAAACACACAGACACGCACGCACACACACAGATACACGCACACACACAGAGAAACACACGTAGACACACACACAGAGACGCACACACATACACACGCAGACACACACCCCCCCCCCACGCAGACGCACGTCTCTGTTTACCCGGCGCCAAGCAGGAGCCCACTTTGCTATCGATATTAATAGCAATAATCCTAATAAAATCGGTCGCTCAATCCACGTCCGTCTGGAGGGGCAAATCGGGGTGGGGGGGGGGTGGGGGGAGCGCAAGACACACGTCACGCAGTCACCTCCACCGCCCAGCGCAGCCCGGGACGCGCTTTGGAAGGAGCGACGAGGCGCGAGGTTGAAGGATGTGGGGTCCACGGAGGAGTTTTGGGGGGGGGGGGGGGGGGGGGGGGGGGGGTGCGGAGACAGAGAGAGGGAGAGAGAGAGAGGGAGGGGAGGGGAGGGGGTAGAAAGAGAGAGAGAGAGAGGAGGGCAGGCGGGGGTGAGATGGTTCGAAACCAGTCATCGCCTGTTTTTCTGGGCACAATTGGCTCATGTGAGGAGGTGTTTCTGGGTGACACCGAATGGGTGTCTTTCCAGGCAAAGGCCCCGATTTCCCACGAATTCCTCCCCCACCCGTCCCGAGGTGTGAAAGGCTCAGATGACTCAACCCTTGAAGGTGCGCATCGGGTTCTCATAAGGCAGTCGGCGTATCTCATAATCCCGCGCACACACATACACACACACAAACACACACACACACACAGACACACACACACACACACACACAAACACACACACACAGACACACACACACACACACAAACACACACATACACAAACACACACACACACACAGACACACACAAACACACACACACACACATACAGACACACACACATACACACACACAAACACACACACACACACAAACACACACACAAACACACACACACACACAGAGCTACGCAAACAGACACGCACACATACACAGATACGCGCACGCGCACACGCACACGTTTGCCATTTCGCCCGCAAAACACACAGTCACTCCACTTCCCGGTGTGTCCCGGCGAAGCGCTTCCAAGCGTCTCGAAGACGCGATAGGACGCTGGGTCAAATGAAAGGATTATTATGAGTATATTATTATTATATTATTATTATTGATACAGTTCAATATCCCCGTCCTCGCCTTCAAAGCCCTCCCCCCCCCCCCCCCCCCCCCCCCCCCGTCTCCCCCCCACCACTCAACTCGCGCCCCCAATTTGCTGCTGTTGTTGACGTTCACTGTGGCTAAACATCACACAATCTGCTTTGTAGAATTTCCCCGTTTAAGGTTAATTCTGTGGCAGTACCTCGAAGGCCCCAACCAACCCTCCACCGCCCCACCACCCCAAAACCTCCCACCCACTCCCTCCCCACCCCCAGGAAGTAAGGGGGGGGGGGGGGGGGGTGGGTGAGTGATGGTGGGAACTGTTTGTGGGACGTTGCTATGCCTTTAATCTTTCTCGCTCTGTGCCAACACCCAAAACAGAATTACTATCCCCAGAAACAGGAAACCCGTATTCTTGTCATATGTCGCCTGTTGGCTTTGTGACAGTCCGCCCGTACGACACACAGTCACTACGCTTTGCGGGGTCAGCCCGTGGGGCGCTCTGAGCCGTCTCGAAGGCGCCACAACTCGCGGCGTCATTGAACGCCAGGATTGTTACGATTATGATGGCGTCGTTGTTATGATTGTTAGGATTATTATTATGATGATGATTCTCCTTATTATTAGGATTATTGCTGATAGTAAGCCTTTGCCTCGCGCTGACCCGGACCGAGACGGTGAGGACTCGTCTCCTGGCCCCTTTGAGTCACTTTCAGGGACTTTCCACTCAACCTGCGACGGTTTCAGAGAAAAGAATACCCTTCCTGGGGTTTGACCTTAACCGCGTCTAAAGAGGCCGTTTCGAAAGGGTGTCAGAGGTTTTCGCTGTAAATCTCACAGAGGGCGGAGTCTCGCGTTCGACAGAAGCCCCTTATCACGTCTTCGAGACGTCCCAAACCCCTCCCGCCCCCGACTCCGCTGCTCCCCGTCACGCAGAGGACACGGTTCGAGATCCCGGTCCTCACCTCCAAACCCCTCCGTGGGTCTTGCTCCCCTCCGCACCGACCTCTGCGAGCTCCTCACCCCCCCACTACCATCCTGCCCGCTCCCTCCGCTCTGCTTCGCGTCCCCCCCCCCACCCCACCGCCCCACCGTCCGGTGCGGTCCCTCCCCCCTCGCCCCCTCCCTCGCCCCCTTCAAGACCCATCCCAAAACCCTTCCTCCTCTTCGACCGTGCTTTCGATCTCCCTGCTTGGGCGAGTTTCCCCACTCCGCACGCCTCTGCACACCCAGCAATAAGCAGGAACCCGGCTGTTAGTCGATTAGCCGATCGCCTTCCGGGGGCAATAACACCGACAGAGAAACAACAATATTAATAATAATGCAGTCACTCAATCCACATTTTTGCGGGACACCGCTGTGCGGAATTAGCTGTCGTTTTGCTCCCACAAAATAGACAGTCAATTCGCTTTCCTGTGAAGCGCTTTGAGACGTCTCGAAGACGGGATAAGGCGCTATATCGAATGCCAGGATTATTATATTCTGACCGGTACTTAATACGTCACATTTTAACCCGCAACCCCGTAACCTGAAGTCCGCTGCTTCCGTTGTTAATAGCAATTAACGGCGTGATCAGAACTGGTGTAAACCAATGCGGTTTAGTGATTGTGGGTTTGGTCGCGAAAAGCGCTACAACAAAGGCAAGAATTATTATTATTATTATTATCATTTACCTTTCTCAGACAACTCGCCAACACTGTCGGAGGACACGGTGCCAGTAGGTGGGCCTGTGCTGCCATCTCGTGGTGGTGGTGGTGGTGGTGGTGGGACTGAGGAAGTGTTCAATGTTGAGCACAGGAACAGGAGGAGGCCATTCAGCCCCTCGAGCCTGTTACGCTTTTCGAACAGATCACAGCTGATCTGTAGCTCAACTCAATTTACCTCCTTTGCCCCATCCGCCAATCGGCTAACGAGCGGGTTCCGACTTACTGCTCTGTAACCAGAGACGCGCACCGCGCGTGTGTGTGTGTGCGTGTGTGTGTGTGTGTGGAGTAAGGAAAGTTGGCTCAGTCGTCGCCCTGACCCGCCCGGGATTCGAACCCGGGTCCTCTGGTTCGCGAGGCGAGCGCTCTCACCTCCGATTTTATCTGTGGGCGGTTGTCAGTCAGAACACACGTGGGCGGTGGGGGGGCATTTTAGATTCTGTTCAGCAACGGCTCTCAGGGAAACAGATGGAAAACAACACACTCACCTTTCTGCAGGTGAAGCGACGAAATTCGAACTCAGTTCAGTGAAAGTTCCGCTTCCGGACCCAATATCAAACGCACGGATTAGTGTTAATATTTTCCAGGTTTCTTAACGTCTCGCTCTGCCTCCTGAAATGGTTAATAATTAACAACAATAATCATAATCACTTTGCATTCGGTATAGCGCCTTGTCACGGCTTTGAGACCGTCTCAAACCGCTTCACGGAATATACTGTCAAGTGGATTGACTGTATACTTTGTAAGAGGTAATAGATTAGTGTTCCAGTCATAATTTTTAGCAATACTTTTTATCCCCGCTGTCTTGAGTTTGCGATGTCGCGCCTCAGTGTCAGCTCAGATCTGTCTGTGTTTTATTTCATGGGGAGGGAGTCGGGCGGAAGAGAAGGCGTGAAATGTTCTTCACAAAATATCCCCGGGATTTAACACACAAACCAAACACACGGTGTAGTTTCACACAACAGCTTCAGTTGTCTGCGTGAGGACTTCAGTTGGCCACGGTTGCACACTTCAACTCACCGCCAGTCAGGAACCCGGGTGTCTTGTTCGACCCTCAACTGTCTTTTCTCCCCCACATCCAAGTCATGACCGGCTCTGCCTTCCCTCAGCTCCGTAACATCGCCCGACTCCGCCACTACCTCACCCCTCAGGCCACTGAAACTCTTGTTCGTGCCTTCATCACCTCCAGGCTCGAAGGTGCAAACGCTCGGCTTGTCGGCCTTCCCAACTCCTCCCTCCACAGTTGCAGGTAATCCACAACTCCGCAGCCCGTGTCCTCTCCCGCACCAAACTCCGTGACCCCCATCTCCTCCCCCACTCTCGCCCGACTCCATTGGCTCCCTATCCTTCAGAGGATCCAGTTCCAGATCCTGGTCCTCACCTGACAAAGCCCTCCATGGCCTCGCCCCACCCTACCTCTATTACCTCCTAACCCCCTACCGACCCGCCCGCTCCCTCCGCTCAGCCGGCTCTGGCTGCTCCACGGCCCCCGACCCACCCGCCCCACCATTGGCGGGAGAGCCTTCAGCCACTCTGCCCCCAACCCCCAACTATTGAACAATAACAATTCTTTTGTTTGAAACAGCGCCTCTCACGTCAGGAGGAACGTCTCAAAGCACTGCACAGGAGTTATGATGAAGTGTAGTGGCTGTGCATTTTGCAGGCAAATGTGGCGGCAAATTTGCACACAGCCATGAAAGGAACGACCACTATTATGGAGAAGCAGAGAGGAGACTTCTACACTGATCACCCTGATCAGGTCATTCCGGTCACTAATCCCGGGATGTGGGGATCGGGAAGCTGTGGGATTCCTGCAGTGCAGTGGTTAGAGCGCTCGCCTCGCAAGCGAGAGGACCTGGGTTCGATTCCCGGGTAGGGGGAATTTGTTGGCCAAGTTTCCTCAGACCCGGGAGCTGACTATCGGGGAGGAGCAACACTGACGTTGAAACTGAAAGCAGTTTTGAATCAGGAAGAGCTGAGGGTAAAATGGCTTCTCAACACCAGACTCAGAGTCTGACCGAGGAGTTAATTTGTCCGGTTTGTCTGGAACTCTTTACTGATCCCGTTATCCTGGATTGTAGCCACAGCTTCTGCCGCTCCTGTATCACACGGTGCTGGGAAAAGCCGGGGCCGAGCTCCTGTCCTGTGTGTCAGGAGACTTTGCCGGAAAGGAACCTCAGGACCAATCGGGCCCTGGGGAATCTGTCAGAGAAAGCTCGGGATTTGAACCTGGACCCGAAAGACACGGCAATTAAACGTCGCTGTGAGAAACACCAGGAACAACTGAAGCTGTTCTGTGAAACTGACAAGAAGGTGATCTGCCACATCTGTAGAGATGCACAGGAACACAGAGATCACAGCTTCCTGCCCATTGACGAAGCTGTTGAAATCTATAAGGTAACACACAGACATTGATGCGTCACGGAACGCCCAGGGCGGACACGGGGAGGGAGGAAGGGTGACATGCATGTCTAGTGGTTGAGTGGGCTTTAGGGGGCGAGTACGCCAGATGGCAGATGTCTATAAAAATATAATAATACACCTCACTGTCACTATATATCACGTCAACTTTTCCTCTGTGTGTTTGTGTTTAATTCCAGGATAAAGTGAACTCCTCCTTAGATTCTCTCACACAGAGTAAGGCTGCGGCTCTGGAAGCTGAAGGAAACAGAAAAAAAGATTTCACAAGTGAAGGTAAGTTGTGTCGGGGCTGATGTCTGGGCTCTCAGTCGTTGTCTCTCTTTACTGTGCGCAGTGTGATGTCTGAGCTTCATTTTCAGGAACAGGCGACAAATCTGCGAACCACATCACGGCTGAGTTTGCAAAAATGCACCAGAGCATTACTGATAGAGAGCAGCGTGAAATCCGAGAGCTCAGACAGCGAGAGGAGGAGAGTTTTACACCAATGGAGAAAAACTGGAGAGATTCGGGGCAAATTAGATCTCTGAGCAGAAAACTCTCAGAGTTACAGAAACAGATGGAAACAAGACGCTCTCACCTTTCTGCAGGTAAAGAGGTGAAATGATAATTTATTCAGAAAAGGTCAATAGTCTGGAGCAGAAAGTCACAGTCTTGAATGTTAAACAGCCAGTGATTTTATTGATTATTTGGTATAATCTGTGAGACTTGCTGCTGTCTGACAGACTAACCAAAAAAACCTTGCATGAATACGCTCCGTCGGAACTAAGGCTCAACACACTGTAAGTGATGACTTTGGACGGCCATTGCACAATCCCACAACGTGTAGGAAATGACCAATTATATGTGACTTTTAGCTAGTAGGACTTGCCGAGTCGCCCTCTGCTGATGATCTTCCACCAGCAGTGCTACCATGAGTAGGACTCACATATAATTACAGTAATATTCACATGTAATAGGGAAGGGCTGTAGAATTCTATTCTGTGTATCTGAGTTTACAATGTGGTGTCTCAGTGTGAGCTCAGATCTGTCTGTGTTTTATTTCATTAGGAGGAAACTGCTCGGAAGAGAAGGTATGAAATGTTCTTCACAAAATATCCCCAGAATTTACTGCACAAACCAAACACAATGTGTAGTTTCACTTTATAATGTGAACGTCTCTTATTTCAGGATCAGTGATAAGGATTTTATGCTGTCACTATCTGAGGGGGATCTGCCTGTGGGGATATACAAAGGGCCTCTTCAGTACACAGTCTGGAGAGACATGAGACACAGCATCAGCCCAGGTACATGGCTCCCATTCTCAGACTGAAGGTGTGTGAATATCTGACAGTCACCTGATCCTCACAAACTAAACACATGTCTCCCGCCCGACCCGCCCTACCATCGGTGGCCGGGCTTTCAGCCTCTCTGCCCCCACACTCTGGACCACGGTCCCTTCGCCTCACTTCCTCCCTCGTCTCCTCCAAGGCCGGTCTCAAGACCCTTCTCTTCGACCGTGGCCTTTGGTCTCCCACCCACCTCTTTGCCTTCCCTCACCGCACCCCACCTCTCACCCTAACCCCACACCTCCCTCACCGCTCCCTCACCCCCACACCTCCCCCACCCCTCCCTCCCCATGCTTGGGCCCCGACACCTGACTGTTCAGCGCTTTGTCATTTTGTTGTTGTTGTTGTTGTTGTCCCCAGCGCCCGCTGCTGGCGGCGGTACCCGATCAGTGCTGTTTATCCTGTGTTCAGCAACTGACCCTCTGACCACCAGCTCACACACCGCCCCCTAGTGCCCGCCCTCGCTCCTGCAGCCCCCCCCCCCCCGCTCCGTCAC